TGAAAACATTGTTTGTCACATATAGAATTTATAGCAGTAATGTTCTAGCAATAGCTTCTGAAAAATTTAGGTACCATTGCTAAATGTTATTCATTGCATGATCTAACACGTGATTGATCTTATATAGATAGGCGCTTTAGAGAAACTTTCTTTTTAAAGTTCACAAACAATACAGATATATATTCTGTTTCTGTCATCTAAACTGATTAAGTAATTACATATGCAATATCACAACAGTTGCTAATCATTTATCTGTTTTAGTTAATTTTTTACACCTAGAAAATTTTAGCTATTATTGCAAGATCATTTTTTTGAGTGTAAGTTTTCCATACAATTAATTTGTAATGGTAATGCAGTGATCTACACGGAGAAAATTTTATATCAAAAATTACTATATACGGTAGTAGCCGCGGACCATGAAGGAATTATAAAAATTTTTACTATGTTTTTCACATGTGAAACATAGCAAAAATTTTCGGTCTGCGGCTTTATGGTCCGCGGTTACTGTCGTACATAGTAATTTTTGATATAAAATTTTCTGCGTGTATAAGTAAGGTTAATTTATTAATATAATGGATGACTTTTTATATGCATTGTCAATAAAAAGTAATTGTAATTTAAATGTCTCATTTTTAAGAAAATTTTTTAAGAAATAATTTTATTTTTGTTAGTTAATATCATGATATTTTAGTAATTCGATATTACAACTTACATAATTATGACTTATGTCAAGTTTTTTTAAAGTTTATCTAATGGGAGTTTGCATTAACCATTCCCACGCAGATTCTTTAGAGCTTTCAAGATTATTATACGATAGATCCAGATCAGAAAGAAGCAAATTGCCAAACTCTTTTGGTAAAGAACTGATTCTGTTCCCTCTCATGTTTAATGTTGTGAGACGATTCAAACATGTGATTTGCAAAGGTAATTTAGGTAGCTATAAATAGCAATGATTCATAAATATAACGGTAAATGGTAAAAACGTAAAGTAACTTTTTATTTTTTAAACAAAAATTTTATTCTTTTAAATAGTAGTTAATATCACAATTAATTTATATTACATTATAATATCTGTGTAAGTAGATAATGGATCTTACGTCATTATAATTTATTTTCAATGATTGTAAATTCCTTCTAACAGGAGCTTGCTCTAACCATTCCCACGCAGATTGAGTAGTATACATGATATAATTTTTGGATAATGTAATCTTTTGAAGATGATGTAATGTACCAAACTCTTTTGGCAAGAAATTAAACTTACATTCTTGTAAAGTTACATTTCCTAGATCCCGAAAAGGTGTATGCATTGTCAAAGAATGGTACAAAGAATAGTACAAAGATTCTTTTCCAATTCTCGATTTTATTATCTTCTTCAAAACTTTTTGAAACTTCAATTTTCTTGATCTTTTCTGAACAATACCTTTATTTTGCAGCATTGTAAAAATCTATGCAATTTAATGCAATTCAAGATTGAAATGGGTAGGATATTGTATGCATTTTAAAATATCCAAGTTGTGTAATACTAGAACAATCCTTCTGAAAAGCGTAGTTATAAATTTTATTCGATCGAACAAAGTTATGTACTTTGAATTTTTCTTAAAGAAATTCTATTATTCTTGACAAATAAATAATATATGTACATTTCTACCTTGTCTATTCATAATTTCAAAAGAATTATAAAGCAAATGTTACTTTAATATGTTTTTTCAAGATAAAAAGATCTTCAAAGTATAAATGTTGTTATGATATAGAAAATGTTACAAAATGTTGAAATTAATTTAACTCATAAATTTGGTATTTTATTCGATAAAAATAATTTTGAGTTAAACGTATGGTGAATATTACCTCGTTTCTTCTCCTACGGAGAAAGCGGCTTGTGAACGATAAAAATGCGAATTGTAAAACGTGGTTATCTGTGTTATATGACAACTGCTAAACGTATTGCTCTGTACATACGTCCAAACTGCTATGCATAAAGTCATTGATGTTTATTATTTCTTGTCGATGTGGGGAAAATCATACGTGCTTTTGCCGAATGTTATATAAAATTGTGATCCATCACAGTAAACAATTTTTATATTGCAGGATTGATATATAATTAGTGAATTAAAAAGAATTATTATTTAATTAAAAAAAATTATTTTATGATAGCGAATAAAAGAGTTTACCTTGTTATGCGTTGTGACGTGTTTCTATTTTGATATTTCAACAGAAAAATCTATAAGAGTATCAAGCTGGTAATATAGAAATCATGTATCAAGGAAGTCATTTTCGTATATTATAATAATACTCTATCTATGTTGCACAAATCGTAACAGTCTTGTATAGCTTAATTGTATGTCATAACGTTGATCATTCAATGCGTGATTCGAAATCATATTACAATAATTTGACTTTTTCACATAAATGGTATTTAATAATTGACGAAATAAGTTATTTACTTAAATTAATAAATAATTATTAAAAATGAAGTACGTTGAATTGAATTGAATCTAAATAGAATAAAAGTTAATTTGCCAAATATTTCACATAATTTATGAATTATAATATTCCAGTACATTTTTCTGCTGACAAAATGGTGATTTACAAGAATCACGCTGATGAAACGTTTTATTCTTTCAGATAATAATGTTATTATACTTAGTAAATATTACAATTTTTTAATATTGCATTGTTTAACTTACAAAATTGTGATTCATGTTTAAGCATAATAAATTATTTCCAATAGAAGATAGTTTAAGCCATTTCTATGTAGATCGAGTGGATTTTGCACGACAATTGTGCAAAAATAAAAGATACGGAAGGAGAGATAACGTACTCAGCTCCTTTGACCAAAAAAGAAATGTTATTTCTCTCCGATGTTAATATTATTAAATTTTGATAAAGTGCAACGATTGTGTAGCAATCGTAAATAGATTTTCTTACAGTTAGCATTCTTATTTCTTTTTTTAAAAACTGACTAAATTTTTTATTTTTAATATTTTTATAATCATACCTTTATCTCGTATCATTGTGCTGCTAATTTCAAAAAAAGTTATAAAATCTGTTTGTGTTCAATATATGTTTAATACCTTTCTTCCTACAAAAAAAAAATATTAATTTTTGCGAAGATAACAGAAAATATTAAAGATTGTTGATATTAATGTACTTTGTATAAAAATAATGTCTTATTTAATTGCTAATGTATTAAAGAAAAATCTTATTTTACGTTATTTTAAATATATGTGCGTATCACCTCGTTTCTTCTGTTATATTTATAAAAAAATGTAGAGCTTTATTGGCAATAAACTACTATCGAACTAATACAAAACACATTCATGTGTTGAAAAGAAGTTTCAAAAATTTTAAAAGTACTCTTCCATTGTCAACGTTAAAGCTACAGTATAATGTTAATTATATGTTTATTTGTTTCGCATGATATTATTGACACACGAATATACGATTTGATGAAAAGCAACTTTAAAAATTTTATCAAAGTAATAACGATATTATGAAAAATATTTTTCTTCTTATAAAAATATATTAGAGTAAGAATAGATTGCAAAAAAAGAAGAGAGAAGAGAGAGAGAGAGAGAGAGAGAGAGAGAGAGAGAGAGAAGAGAGAGAGAGAAGAGAAGAGA